TGGTTTCAGGGAGCCCTCTAATCCCGACCTTAGTAGGGAGCTCAGTAGCGGGAGCATAGCAATGCCATTTGATTGCACTGTTTACTTCGGTGGCATTTGCTAGGTGCCTTACGACACGGTATTCGTTCGCGGATTGTGGGAGAAAGCGCATCCCTTTGCCGAACATGCAATGCTGCATGCACGCACATTGGGGGCGTGTCCCAGTTTGCGCTTAAGCTCCGCGAAGTGGGTGGTCCAATCCGGTAGATGTTCTACCACTATTGGAGGGTATCCTTTCTTGGAGGTTTCTTGAGGCTCCGTGGTGGCTTCTGGTTGTGGTTGCTGTTGTTGTGATGTGGATGACATCGATGGCGGAGTGGTAGCTCTAGCGATTGTCGCATAAGACGTGCTTTGCGTCAGATTTTGCTGTATTTCCAAAGGGGCTTCGTTGCGCTCGGGGGAGCTTTTCACCGTGTCGTACGATGGTGAACGCGGGGGCTGCGAATGACGCGTGTATACGGCTGCCTCGGGGTTGCGGTCATCTTCGCTGTCGGATAATATTGGCGATCCAACACACTGTCGTTTCTCGTGTAACGACGCTTCTGTTTCAGGCGGCGTATGTCGCCTACGAGTCTTGCGGCGGTGATATGTCTTGGCCGGGGTGGATGCGTACCTAGACGCACCACCGTCGGCCTTGACTTCCGCCACCCCCGAAGTGCTTGCGGCGCTCCTGCGGTATTCCTCTTCGCTTGTGGAGAGGTCCTCCGTTGGTGGTTGTTGTCGCTGCAGTTTCGGTCGCAACTTCTCCCTCGGGAGCTCAGCTTCCTCGGCGATAGGTTGGTCCGTTACTGTAGGTAGACGGGTCCTCCTACGAGGTTTGGGGGGCGATGCGCCCTCCATCCTACGTGGCTCCGTCTTGGTCCGTTGTGCGGACGGTGTCGATACCCCCAGGCGAGCAAGGTACCTTACTCCCTTCGGCGCGGGCAACTTAGCCGGGTGAGACCCCTAGGGGAGGCCCAGCGAAGCGCCCAGCGAGCAGGGAGGGGTACAAGGCCGCAAAGTGTGGTGGTAATCGTCGCGCTTCCCAGCGCGCGCACTGCCTGCCCTTTTCCAAAGGAAAGGGGAGACACAGTGCGAGATCGCACAAGTGGTGTCGCAGGTATCAAATATTTCCGCCACATGCTCGAAGCTCGACACTTCACTGTTTATACTGACCACAAGCCGTTGTGTTATGCCTTTCACTCTAGGAAGAATAACTGTTCGCCTCGTCAGTATAGACACCTGGATTTTGTGTCTCAATTTACGAACGATATTCGTCACATATCTGGCAAGGACAACGTTGTTGCTGACACTCTGTCACGCGTAGAGGAAATACAGAGTCCAGTCGACGTGGTAGTTCTTGCTAAAGCTCAGTCGCAAGATTCTGAGCTAACGCAACTTTTGAGCGAGGAATCATCACTTCGCATTACTAAAATTAAAGATCCTAGTGCAAAAGTAGACATTTTTTGCGATACAAGTACTGGTACGCCTAGACCGTTTGTTCCCAAGCACTTACGTAAAACAGTTTTTGACAGCCTCCATTGCTTGAGCCACCCAGGCGCAAATGCTTCTGCGAAGTTAGTAGCACAGCGATTCGTTTGGCCAGGCATCCGAAAGGACTGTCGCGAATGGTCCCGTACGTGTTTAGCTTGCCAGCGCTCCAAAGTGAATCGTCATGTGTCAGCTCCTCTGGGCACATTCGATTTACCCCGAGCCAGATTTACTTTTGTGCATATTGATCTGATTGGACTTCCATATTCTAACGGTTTTCGTTATTGTTTAACGGCAATCGATCGTTTTACAAGATGGGTAGAAGCCATCCCCATTGAGGATATCACTGCCGAGACAGTAAGTAAGGCCCTATTGTCAGGTTGGATATCTAGATTTGGTTGTCCAAGTGACATAGTTACAGACCGTGGCCGACAATTTGAGTCCGAACTATTTAAATATCTTTCGAGAATAGCCGGATTCAAACATCATAGGACGACAGCATACCACCCTGCATCCAACGGTCTAGTGGAACGATTTCATCGACAGCTGAAAACCGCTATCACATGTCACGCAGACGGTAATTGGACGGAATCGTTACCGCTTGTCTTGTTAGGCATACGAAGCTCGTTCAAAGCCGATCTACAGTGCTCTTCAGCAGAACTCGTCTACGGCGAGCCTTTGAGACTCCCAGGTGAGTTCTTTAACAGCACAACGGCAACAACAACAGATATCACCGACTTCACAGCTCGAATTCGCTCAGTGTGCAATAAGTTACAACAACCCTGTCCTGCCTCTCGACATAGCAAAGGTAAAATTTTTGTATATAAAGATTTAGCCACCTCTAGCCATGTCTACGTAAGGGACGAAACACTGAAAAGCGCCTTCCATCCTGCGTACTCTGGTCCTCACGAGGATCACAATTATATGATTTTATAAGCACTCGTTTACAAAATTATATAATAATTTACTGTTCCAAGATTTAATAACTGCAACACTGTTATCAACCGTCGCTGTCGAAGTTTCTCAATTTTTTACGTTTATTGCGTATTTTTTTACTGGTGCGTGCATTTTCTGTCTAAACCTTGATATTTACATTTCCCTTTTTTCTAATGAATTGGCGTGTTTTCTGGACCTTAATAATACTACTGTGGGTTGTAGTAGCTTATTCAGCAGTATGGAAGCGAAGAGAAAGGAAGAAATAGTATATACGTCACTTACACACTTTATTGTCCACAATACAAAGAAAGAAGGAAGCAAGATAGTCCAGAGCAGAAGGAAAAGCACAAACAGCAATGTTCTTACAAATATTAACACAGATGGTTTACGAAATAGCCGGAGAGCGTTGGAGCGTTACAGACTTCGCGTCGCATAAGCCGATAGCAGGTAACTGACTCGTTAGACGTGAGATGCGCGGTCGCAGCCGATCGACGGCCGAGCCACCGAATGACGTCACACAGACCGGTTCTTTGTTTACAATAGCCTAAGCGCGCCGCGGTGTGAAATAATATATATAATAAATTTAAGTGTGCCGTGTTGTATGTTTGTATGAATAATATTTGTTTAAGTTGTTGTGTAAGAATTATAATAAATATATGTGTGTATGTGTAAATGTGTGTAATATGATATGAGTGAGTGGTATGTAAGGAAGTCCCCACACTACTTTTACTGTGAACTTTCTATTTCCTACGGACACTAATTCATAACGATAAACCCCGGCTTCGTTTAGTAGACATGACTAATTACGTTTTATTTTAAGAATACGTTTTGATGCTGTACTGATGGAGAAGATACAGAAAAACCCATACTCGAACTTTTATTTCGAGTGTGAAGATGGAGGTAAGTAATATTAGACATAATAATAAGGTAAGTAATTATTAACAATAGAATACAGTTTGTTTTATTACCATTGCCTCCAACCTAATATGGTTACAGGATTGTCTGAAGTTTTTAATGTACAACAAATAAAAATGTTATTTTACTATAAAACGCCAAAACAGCAAAATGCCTATGGTACAATATATTAAGTCTGCAATTGCGCATTAAAGAGTATATCTAGTACTACTGAAACATTATTACTTGTTGCTGAACAAATTAAAAATTCAGAATATATCTGCAGAAAATAGCAGTGACTTGGTCATACATAACAAACACAATCAACCATCTAATTATAAATCTGAAAATAAATTATATTCGTCAGTTGTCAAATTGTCCAATATGTCCAACAATAAAGTAATAATTGTATCAGATAATATAGGGCAAGGTTTTGGTTCTTTATTATCGAAACATGTAAACAATGTATACAATATATGTTCACCAGGTGCCAGTTTCCATAAAAATATCAATAAAATATTAATATTAAATGAGAATACTATTGCACTTCTTCATGGGGATAGCTTATCTGTTAACAAATAGGAAATTATTAATAATATGGAAATATTACTCAGCTTAAATTATAAGACTAAGTGCAAATTTATAATTTTTTACGAACACAAAGAAACTAGCGCCATCTAGCGTCAACCAGTAAACCCCTCAACGAACAAAGGCAACATAAAACCCCCTATTCAATACTAGATGGCGCTAGAGGAACTACTGTGGAACTATAGTCTCGAAAACCGGGTCATTCGCGAACTTTCCAGAATCACGATCATGTTCGCGCGTGTCGGGTGCGTTCCAGGAAGGAACTTTCTGGATTAGTCTGGGGCTCGTCCCGGCCCATATAAAAAGCCACAGAGAGGCGAGCCAGGACAGTTCAGTTTGAGCTATCTTCGAGGCGACTTCGGAGTGAAAACTAGTGATCAAGAGCGATACCAGTGAAACCTACGACTTGGCTACAACCTAGGACATCGTTAGTGCTTAGTGTTTGGACCTAGTGCTTTGTGTTGGACTTAGTGCTAGCGAATAAAGTCTTCAAAAGAGTCAGCAGGTCTTTCCCTCCAAATCCTCCGAACCCCAACACGTAACAATATGCTCATTTCCATATTCCTCTACAGAGGAAACTCACACCACAACAACTCCTTACAGAGCAACAAAAGAAGCAGATGTCAATGGTTGAAAGCGTGACAGATAAAATTGGTCTAACAATTGCAGTCAAAATGATGGCAAGCTGTGATTTTCGTATGCCAGTACCCTTGAAACTCAACACAGGGATTGATTTACTGCCGGAATGGGTAAGATTAAAACAACAATTACAAATATTTTTGTCAGCGGCCGGATTGGACAGAGTGGCGGACAACAGAAAAGTCGCCATTTTACTAAATTGCATTGACATGATGCTCTGGATCTTTACTTCAACGTACTAAAATCTGAAGAAAAACTAAAATATGAAGAAATTCTAAAAAATATAATGATTATTGCACGCCTAGACAAAATGAACTGATAAATGCCTAACACTTTAATAAAAGTAAACAAGAGCAAAGTGAAAATTTTGATCTCTTCTACACGGAAGTAAGAAAACTGGTAAAAATTGTAATTACAAAGACCAAGACGAAAGAATGCTTCGAGACAGGATCTTCATTGGAGTGTTAGACAAGAAGCTGCAGCAGAAATTGTTATCCATTATCAACTTAACCCTGGAGAAAGCCGTAGACATGTGCAGAGCATCAGAGCTAGCAAAGGCGCAAGCTAAAGTGATGCAGTAGCAGACCGTAGCAGTTGATGTCATACAGAAAAAACAGCTGGATGTGCCAGAACAAATTTCAAAACGAGATAAGTATTTTAAAAATTCTAATGATAGGGATAATTCTCAATGTAAAAAATGTGGTTCCAAACTTGGCCCTCGGAGCTGCCCAGCGTTTGGAAAAACATGTTCAAACTGTCACAAACCCAATCATTTCACAAGAGGTTGTAAATTCCTGAATGAGGTATCGGTTCATGATTTATGACTAATTAAACAATGTCATAGTATCGGTAATATAAAAAACAATGAATGGATTCTATCATTAAGAGTAGAAAGTAAAAAAGTGGATTTTAAGTGCGACACAGGGGCACAAGTTAATGTTTTGTCATTGAGAGATTTTAAAAAGATTGTCAATGATGATTCTCCTAAATGGTTTGAGACAACAATAGTTTTAGAGGCATTTGGGGGAACAAAACTATATCCATTAGGAAAAATTAATTTAAAAGTAATAAATGATGAGTACATGTATGACACCGAGTTCATAATAATAAAAGAAAATGTCAGACCTATTCTAGGCTTAACTTCATTAAGAAAACTAAAAATTTTAAGAAGTATAAACAGTGTTAGTTGCAAAGATAAAAATTTAATTATTAATAAATATGGTGAACTTTCTCAGGGTGTTGGGCAATTTGAAGTGCCATTGGAGCTACCCACTCAGCCTGAGGGAAGGCCTGTAATAAAACATCCTCGCAGAGTTCCACACGCATTGATGGATAGATTGGCCGCAAAATTGAAGAGCCTGGAAGGACAACAAATCATTGAGAAAGTCGAACATCCTGAGAGTTTTGTGAGTAACATGGTCATCATTGAAAAAGTAGATAACGAGTTTAAGAATATGTCTTGATCTTCAGGAACTTAACAAAGTGTTGATAAGAGATTATCATTTAATACCAACTCTGGAAGAAGTTATAACAAAGCTTTGTAATAAGTCTGTATTTGATGTGTTAGATTTATCAGATGGATTTTATAATATTAAATTGATAGACAATTCGAAAAAACTATGTGTAAAGTGTGAAAGTGCATTTAGTACTCCTTTTGGATGTTATCAATTTTTAAGGTTACCATTTGGAGTTTCTGTAGCACCAGAAATTTTCCAAAAACATAGTGAAAAATGTTTGTAGTATACCTGGACTTGCAGTAAATACGATACCTGGAGTAGTAGTTTATTGCGATGACTTGTTAATTTGTGCTGACAATGACAAGAACATGACCAAATATTGACACAAGTATTTAAACGGGCTAAAAAAACATAATGTTAGATTCAATAAAAGGAAGTTCCAATGTAAATTAAAAGAAGTAAAATATTTTGGGCATATTTTCTAATATTTTCTATTAATATTTTCTAAAAAAAGGATCCAGATAGAATAAAAGCTATAATTGAATTAATTGAATTGAGCAAAGAAAATTTTAACAAAATGTAATGAAAGACAAAACAGATTATAGGGCAGCATTGTTACAATATAGAGCTTGTCCGGTCTCAAGAACAAATTTTTCACCTGCACAATCAATGATGAATATAAATTTAAAAACAAAATTACCAATTTCATTTAAACATTTACAGCCGAAAATTAATCATAAGGTAAACAAGGAATTTAAAAATGTTAAAATAAGAAATGAACAAAATTATAATAAGCCAACTAGACCTAAGCAAAATTTTGAAGTAGGACAAAATATATGGTTTAAAAAGGATCCTAATAGTATTAAGTGGTTAAAAGGAACAGTTGTAAGGAATAATAATTTTAGATCCTAAGGTGTAAAAGATGAGGAAAGGTGTACTTACACAAGAACTTCATATCATGTTCGACCTCTATGATTTGTTAGAGATACAGGTTCAGCGCTGAGTGTGCAGGTTCAGGAGGCACACAATGTTTATAAACATTCATTTAAACTAAGTTTAATTTGTTTAAGTATTTTTTATTATTTGATAAACAGTAGATATTGTTATACAAGGCTGATTAAATACTTATACTATATTTAAGTGAAAAAGATCTCTAGAGTACAAATGTTGTTAAACATAATAGTTTATTTTTTCTTTATGAAAGGAGAAAGAAAACTGTGTTTCAATATAAAGTTAATTTAATAATTTAAAGTTTGATGTTATAGTAAGCTCTCAGCAAAAGAATTTCTAGTAGCGATTTAGTATCTTGTTTAAAATTAATGCTCATATTTAAAATTTTAGTAGAGTTTGTCAATTGTTTTGTATTCAACTAGTCTTAAACACATTTTGTAATGTTTTTATTAGTTTCTGTTTCATTGTGAAAAAGGGGGAGATGTATGATAGATTAAATAGCTAACATCACTAGCAGTGTTTTCTATATTAATCTATGGTTGTTTGTCTCTTGTCACTTTGGATATACTGTTAATCGAAGAGAAAGTAAGGTCAGATTTGTATAATAATCTAAAATATATAATAAAACATTGAACGTTCCTCCAATAATTGTTTTATTAAACAATACAGTATGTTTCATAATGTTACTAAACGCAACAGATACTCTATTAGGTATGAATTATAGGTTTGGTTGGAAATAAATCAATTCATTCCAAACAAGGCCGCTGCAGTAGGGATTAAAACATACGAAATTTGCGAGTCTAAGACAGGTTATTTATGGAGATTCGAAGTGCATGCTCATAAAAAACCACCGTCTACACAGACTGACAAAAGCCCCCTAGACGCATTAACACCCGCAATAGTACTGAAATTTATAAATGGTCTTGAAAATAGGGGTCATACTCTATGGATGGACAATTTTTATGCGCGTAAATTAAAATCTATAGGGTTTGATTGCGTTGGCACACTTCGAACCAACCGTCAGTTTGTGCCGGAAGCTCTAAGCAATTTAACCAAGGCGAATATGCGGCCTGGCCAGATTACTGGTTTTACATCGGATGACATCGATCTCATGGTATGGCGAGATTCTAACCGCATTGCGATGATCTCGACGTACCATGGCAATGCAATTAATACTGTTCATGGGTCTACAAAACCCATCTTAATATTAGACTACAATATTATGATGGGTGGGGTAGATGAGAAGGACCAAATGCTGTCTATGTATCCGATTGAAAGAAAGAGAACCAGAATTTGGTGCAAGAAGGCTTTTAAATGTGTCTGTTCTAAATTGTTATATACTTGTAAAACATTTCACTTCTTCTTTTACTCACCGTTCTTATCGTATAGCCCTTATTAAGTCTATTTTAGAAAAACACTCTCCTCTGGTTGTAGATGGCCAAATTTACACAGTTCAGAAACATCATATAGCTAAATACCCGTTTCTGCCAGGAAGAAGTGGCCGGTTACGACGCAATTATGCCGTGTGCTCAAAGCGGGTGCAAACATTTTGCGTAGGATGCAAAAAGACTTTGTTTGAGCCCTTGCTTTGTATCTGTGCATATGTAGCAGTAGTTTTTTTTTAATTTTAACTTTTAAATAAAACATTTTTGAATTTGAATAACATATTAACATTTTAAATACTATCTATAACCACAATAAATTGATGTTACAATACACTTTAAAATTCAGGTGTGATATTACTCTGAAGTCTTATCCATACTAACCTTTTTAACCGCACTTTTTGCGTTGAAATTATTAGATTTTGTACAATGCCGCACTCTTTGCAAAATTCTTTAAAGATCTGGCTGGTGAATTGATTACCATTATCGCATGTCAATGTCGAAAGTAAAGTAAGTATGTTGTAAATTATCATGGCTAATTCGCATCAAAGCCACACTGCGGCTCAATACGCCGATATGATTCATATTTAAAAAAAAATTCATCGAAACGCTGCCCTCGCGATAAAGATGTATCGAAGATATGGCGCAACGAGGCAATGCCCTACAAATCCACGCACTACAACTTTTAGTTTTACAATGCATTCGCGAAAACCAACCGAAGTGGTATACGATTTTGTGTTCATGTGGAATCGATATAACTTGCACCATTGCACCATAAGCTAATTTCGGCAGCTTTACTACGCCCATAAACAAGACCAGCCCAAGAAACTGTTTTATTTCTGTCTTGTTTGTTGGCTTCCATGAATGAGACCTTGATCCAGGCTTTGTTTGCCTGGCTGTGATGTTTTGACTTGCGAACAAATTTGTCTGCTCAGCAATCATTTCAAGAATTTCTTCAGGCACCAATAGATCATAATACTGGTCAGGGCCAGCTTCTTTCAGCAAATTAGAATATGGAGGTTTCATACCCTCGAACTCGGTGAAAGGAATCCCTGATGGCTGTCGTCTTTTTGGCCTCGACCATTTTGAGGAAATACGGTCAGTTTGCGATATATTGGCGGCAACAAAATTTTCAGCCGACTCACTGTCACTATCACTATCACTTGCGATAACCAAACGTCTTTTCTTTTTCGGTAATTGTATGGGTTCACTATCCGATTCTACGAGAGCGTCATTGTTTATAGAAGCGATCGAAAAAGAAATTTCTAACGCGTTGATTTGCTTCCATTCATCCTGCGTAAATTCGAAGTCCTCCATAGCTAAATCCATATCTAAAGGCTCGCACATTAACTATTCAATAAGAAAATGATGTCAGCTAAGATAGTAGGAACGTAATTGATCTAGTAACACACGTTCTATCACCGTAAGCGCGAGCTCACTACTGGTGTAGCGGGTGGCCGGCGGGGTGGCCGGCGCGGCGCCGGGTACCGGAAAATATATTTTCTGTATTTGTGCGCCATGGGGTGCACCGGTGACCTCAGCTATGTATTTGACTGTAACTATGTAACCCATGTACAGAATTGAATAAAACTTATTTTCTATACGTATCGTAACATAATAAACAAATTACGACCAAAAGTATTTTTACGATTTTTATTTTCTTCTATCGGCGTTTAACGTGTTAATGAAATTTATTTAATAAATTTAACTTTTATTTTTTCTTTTATAATTTAACATTTCATATTATGACTTATTTTAGGATCAGCAATGAAGCGTCATCACTCGCCAGATATTTTAGGGGACTCGGAGCGACCACTCTCCCCCTCCGTTCTTCAATCTAAACGAGATACAGTTTTAGAGAAAAAAAATCGACCTGAATGTTCACACTGCGTTTCGATCAAAAAAGAAGAGAAGGACCGAAGAAACGAAATTTTTGGTTTACTAATAAGTGAAGAAATGAACAACATAGAACCTTGTATGAGATCCCGAGTTTATTCAAGAATTTTAATATTTCTACATTCAATAGAAGGAAAACACAGTACAGAAGTCCTTTTGGTAGAATCTGGGAACAAGAAAAAAAACCGGGAGAAGATACTTTTAAAAACGTAAAATAATCACTATTTTTGCAATAATCCTTTCGTTCTGAGTCTATTTAAATGTTAATAATGAACTGTTTTTACAATTTCTAGTAATATTTCACTACAATATTTAATATATCACACAATTTAATTACGAGAACCGGCGAAATGGGAGCCCAGTTTTCTAAGTGTTGACTTTATCATACGAAATAATATCCTATTAAACCTTGGATTTATTTTATTTTTTGTTATCATGAAAGAAAAATTCACGAACATTATTTAATGTATAATACTAATAATACAGGGGGGTAATAAATAAATCAATATTTACATCATAAATGCGAACCCAACAACTACTTGAAAACACTTAAAACATTTTTTGTAAACAATTTTGGACGACGTGAAACATTCACAAGTACATCTGGACCGACTTTTTGACGGACCAAACCGAACCGACAGACATTTTTGACAGGACTTTTGACATAGATTTTATTGACCTTTTGTGTACGGAGACCAACAGGAATGCAGAGCAAAAGATAGCTTTAATGCGAGAACAAAACAAGCTAGCTCCGCATTCCCGTTTCACTCGTTGGTCTCCTACAAACAGAGACGAAATTATGACCTTTATAGCAATTTAATATTACAGGGACTATATCTTTACTTTTAATGGCTTTGGTACATTCCAATACTTTGCGAAAATAATGTCATACAATCGTTTTCTATTGTTAAAAAGTTTTCTTCATTTCGTCAACAATGACACTTTGTAGACACGACCAGACCAAACGGGAACGATGCTATTGACAGATTTGACGATGATGAGACAAGCGACAGACTTACGACTGGTGGAAGCGCAGACCGTCCCACGAGCGCTACTGCCGTAATTGTCTATAACTTAATCCAATCACTACTTCACCTTGGCGAGCGTCCGGACACTGAGCTATCACGGCTCTATTGACATCCGATAAGGTTTGTAATTTATTACTTTATCCTCAGGCAATCTGATTGTCATCTCATTATCACAGTTGCCCAACTCCATGCCTTTTCTAGGGATCATCAAATTCGTTCAAAAGAGAGGTAAGAGAGTCTCTCTGACTCTCGGTCAACTGATCACCTATTTTAGATACGCAAGTTTCAAATTCAACCAATTCAGCTCTAGCAATACAATCAGCACTCTTTAGAACAACAGTTTCATTAGTTAGTTTAATCACTGTTGTACCATCCTGATTTATTTTTAGGGGGAGAAATTTTTCGGTAACATTTTTAGGAATAAAATTTTATTCACATTGAAAAAAAAATTAAAAAACAAAAATTTTAAACACAAAATATAATATAATAGTACTGGCTGCTTGGCCTATGTAGTATTTTAAATTGTACCGCCATAAACTCTTACTGTGAATATACGTCTACTTATTTAATATACTATATTGTTAGAGGAATAGTGAGACAACGTCACCATGGAGGGAAGTGTGCGGCACCGTTAACTTGTTTTAAGAAGAAAACCTCTGCCCGATGGAAAATGTCAAACTGCTTATGTTCTGATTTTGAATTGGATAAAATGGGGTCTCATGTAATTTTCTTACAGAATTAGTAAGAACTTGAATTGTTTTGGTTTTTGTAATTGATTTTGCTTTATTGAGACATAAAAGTGTCATAGTTTGTGTTTATAGTTTCTGTAGTGGACTGTATTAATTTTGAATGTTCTTCCAATAAAAGAGTTCTTCCTTTTAGACGTTTATTATTCTTCATTACAATTGAGCCGTACCGTACAAATTTTTATTTACACATATATATACACTGACAGTGGTATGACAATTAACTAGTGTTTAAAAGCTAATCTTCGGGCGTCGACCAATCACGGCCTCGATCCGCCGTCGCCGTGGCGCCACCCAGGGCGGTTCGACAAGCGGTGATTTCGCTGCGACTGGTTGCTCCGCCGTTGACTGGTAGGACGCGCGACGAACTATTGCTTGACGCGATGTGGCTGTTCAACCGGTGTGTTAGGCGACACTTTGTTATTTTCTTCTGTAAATTACTTAGGCGATCCGTTAGCCGTTTGAGTCGCTAACAGTTTCTTTTAATTACATTCCACCTCTGGTTCCTAACAATATATTCAAAATATGCTGCTAAGTGGGAAAAAGACAATGGATTTAATGTGCCGAATTATCACGTGCTCTGCGGAGAAGGAAAACATCGTGAGGTAACCTGCATATTTTCAAATAATAACAGAGAAAAATATTTCGAAAATATGTGAAGTCCGCCAATCCGGAGAGCCAATCCGCAGTGGGGCCGCTTGGTCCGCAGGGAGGCCTTTGCTCAGCAGTGGGACATGTATAGGCTGATACATTTACTTTTTTGCTGAAAGTAAAAAACAATTGTAGATAAATGAACAAAACTTTCGATGCCACGGGATTCGAAGCTGCGTCTACTGATTTGAAACAAACATATTAATTGTAAATAATCTGCGCTCGAAACTATATCATATTTATCTAAAAATTTACAATTTACGTTCAATATTTCAGTTTACTCAAAAAATATCTCATTTATTATGGATCTCATTTGGAATTCAGCTGTTTATTTTTTTGCAGTTCGGCCGTGACGGATTCTCTTCGCGAGATGAAACTGGCGAGGAAGGCGGATACGCGACGGATGGCAGCGCTATCGACGGAAGCTCGTCGACAGCTACTAGAGCTAAAGCGACGTTCTGATTTGGAGCGGATGCTGTTGCCAGATGCGCCACCTCGCAAACGGCAAACAAAGTATTTTGTTTCTTTTCTTCCAATCACTTCTCTGAAGTCGAAACTGTCAACTTGGCTTCAAATATAATAATTATTTGCTTAATTATTGATTAATAAGTTATTAATTGTCCAGGCGGGTATCTCCAGAACGTCAGCAATGCGTAATGGTTGCACCAGTCGACGAGCTATGTGACGGTTAGATGATTATTTCAGAATCAAGGAGTATTTAATGAACAAACAAAATGCATAAAAAAATCTTTATCGTAACATGTTTGTTGCAGAATTCAACCCCGTAGAGCCAACTCAGGTCGTGGCCTCGACGTCCAGAGAAGCTGAATTTTTGGGAAGATTTTTATTTCAGACAGGTGATTCATACTTCATTAATCCTTACTAATATTATAAATGCGTTAGTTTGTTTGTATGAATGTATGTTTGTTGTTACTCTTTCACGCAAATACTACTAAATAGATTCTAATGAAACTTTACAATAATACTACATCAGAAATAATTACAACTATACATCAAAAATAAGACATAGGGTATAATTTATATACATATTTTATGTATGTATGTATATATATATATATATATATATATTTCTGTCTGAATGTTACGCCTTCAGCCGATTCTATGCAGACGTAGGCGCGGGCAGCAGCTAGTACTAAATAAATTGTTTGTTTTAGAACTTAACCTAGCT